GCTGACTGCTGGTTTCTTGCTCTCATGCAGATGCACTCCGACTTGGAAGGAAGCTCCCAATTATTCGACTCTTACGACATGCTTTTGGGTAGGCAGTGGGTCTGTTCTTATTTTCCCTTTAAGAGGGCCCCAGAACCCACATGGGGAGAAAGATAGATGGACTAAAGAAACTTGATGGATGATCATAACAATGAGGTCAGGTGTCTCCCGAGATAGATAATAAAATTAAGTATAGTTTCCAGTTAAAAAACCAACGTCTCTCAAAAGTAGAATGTTGAATTACAGCACTCGGGACGCTCCCATAGGTGCCCTATCCCCGTCTTCAGCAGCAAGCGAAGAGTTCCAATTCCGATGGAAAAAGTAACCGTCTGATTGTATATCCGTCTCATCCTTCCCTTGAGTGTTTAAGTGTCGGCCAGATCTCCTGGTTCTCTGAAAAGTAGGGATCATTCACCTATTTAGGTAACAACATATATCATTACAATCTTTAAAAAGAGACATTACAACTATACTTGTTTTTAACATGTGCCATTTTCTTTTCCTAAGTTCAACTTTCTCTCTATTCATATATGCTCGACCACAGAAACCCTTGTTTTTTGGTAATAAAACGAAGTTTCTGGAAATACTAGCTATGGGTTTGCAATAAATGAAGCTACAGGATTTCTCACACAAGCTGTGATAAATCCGGTACACGCCAGATGTATGCATGCGACAAATACCTGCATTGCTCTCCGTATATGAAGGATACGAGGAGTTACATGCGAAGATGTACATGAAAGTCTCAGCAGACAGGGAACACCTTCTACATGAGACAGGGAAGGACAGCAAGGGATCTCTGCTGAAAAGACGCAGCTCCTGGATGGCACAGGCAAAGTCACCGTTAGAAGTCTTTGTGATAATGACCAGATAGCGCGTGGTGAGGAATGGGTTACCGTGTTGCCCAGCGAAAGAGACTTGCACAAAGTGATAGTTACCTTGGATCGAGAATGACGGAAATGGATAGCGGGTAAAACATAGGAATCGGTGCATGAGCTGATAAATAAAAATTCACACCTAGGAGACAAGGTTATATACACATATGGGTCTGTAGAAAGAGATTGAAAGAGTGGGTGGGATATTATTGCAACGGTTGATGGATACTATCTGAAGACAGAGAGACTATAATGTCACGACATTGAGCCGGTTGTTTTATTGGTCCGAATTATAATTATGAGTCACAACCCCGGGTGGAGTGGTAGGAGCCTACCAGATCAGTTCTTCCCATTGGGGCAGTTGAAATGTGGCTTCGTCGGTCAACTTTGTGAGACAGCTCGGGGGTTAGTGAAAGCCCTCAAGTGCACTTAGAAGCAAAATTGTTTTTCACTATCCAAGGAGGTCTCACTTTTAGCCACGGCCCGGGGTTGGAACTTCCAATATTAGCTGTTCCCATAGTTGACGCTACCTAACCCCCAGCTGCCCCAGCACCCCAACGACGCAAGCGCCCACTATGGGAAGAAATGTTCTGGGAGCACTCACCACCGTTATTGACTCCGATGGATCCGTAGCTCGACTCGTAAACATTTCATGAGCTTTCACATTTCTGGTTTGGAGGTGAACAGGGTTTTCTAAGTGATTCCATGGGCATGCTTAAAAAGACCGAGACAGGATGGGTTTAAAGACAACCTGGAGTCACTGAGGAAATCGCTTCTGGCCGGAATATTTCATTTTGTTAAAAACCAGGGCATTATGGGGCAAGAGGGAGTGGACTAGCGTACTGGCTTACTCTCAGGGCTACTGAAGGCACAGGACCAACAATAGACGGGGGCCGACGTTCTCAATGGCCTCATGAAGATAAGACTAGTAAATGATTCAGGAGTCGACAGGATTACAAATAACAACAAGAACTTCAGGTCAAAAGAGGAGTCACCAAACACGAACACTATACAGACAGCCAGAGAAGAATAGAAAGCCAAGACAGAACTTGTTTTATCCGTCACCACACGCGTAGGGACAGAGTGAGTATGGGATTCGAATGGCTTTGGATTTGCCCGAGGTGCAATGAGGATCATTCTGCCGATTAACCAACTAACTGTTATTATTACAACCTTAACCATTTTCACCAAGAAATCAACAGGACCGAAACAAATCATGCTTAAAGTATGAGGAGAAGAAGAGAAAGAGAAAGAAAAAGAAAGACCAACAGCAACAGCAACAACATTAACAGCAATAACAGCAGCAGAACAACAACAAGATTACAGGTTTTTATATGATATCAAATAGTATAATTCAATTCCTAGACTACTACACATGGTGTTAAATGATATACATACTACGTTAAATTATATACATATGGCGTTAAATGATATACATACGACATTAAATGATATACATACGACGTTAAATGATATACATATGACGTTAAATGATATACATATGACGTTAAATGATACGTATCTGAAGCAAATGAAGGAATTTAAATATCATGGAAGTATATTCTCCAAGCACAGAAGAATAGATCGTGAAATAGAAACAACTAGCCAGTGAACTTAACCAGCTGACACCGTTATTAAGACACGTAAACATAAATGTGAGCGCAAAGGCGAACCTAGATAAATTACCACTTTTGAAATGAAATGACTGAGAAAAGCCGCTGGATTAACCCTCCGAGACAAAGTTAGAAAGGATATAATGCACCCAGAACAAACGCTTCACATGAACAGATCTGAAGTGAAACAAGAAGCTGCCCTAGAAGAAAATGGATTGATGACATTAAAGGGCTTCTACATCGACACGGAATGACAACAGTCAATGCTGACCATTAAGCGATGGAACACAAACTGTTCCTTCCCCTAACTCCTAACGACAGAAGTCGAAATGATAATGATGATGACTGGCACCTATGATTAGGACTTTTCCGTCTGTCCAGTTGATAGTGCAAATTGCCCACGAGTAACCATGTGACTCAAGCCCATGGGGATGGCAAGTCTGACTAGCAAAACCAGTTCCGAGACCAGCTCCGGCAAGAGATGAAATTCGTTCTCTCCATAGCACAAAGCCTAGGCACTATTGTAGAGGCCATATGTTGCCAGTCATCATGATCTTGACCTGCCTTGTTTACACCGAAAGAAAGGTAACACCAGTAAGTTTAGAACAAAGCAGGCTGCAGAAGCTGCTGGACCAGAAGAACAGTGCTCTGTGTGTCTGCATGTCGGAGCTTCTTTCCTAGACCAGCTGCCAGCCAAGGCTAAAGGCCTGGCCTGCCCTGCCCTGCCCTGCCCTGCCCTGCCCTGCCCTGCTGTAACATAAAGTTTTCAGGCTGAATTACCTTTTCCAAGGAAAAGGCTAGTATCCTCCCCAATGCGCTCCTCCGTCCAAAACCGTCGACACAATATATGATATCAAATTTGGTATGCCCAACATTCGGCGTAACGAAACACAGGGGGTTAATTATAGTGAACATGATAAAAGACAAAGTAAAAACAAACCATGAAATCAAAAGTGACAACAGATATCGGTTTTAAAATAACCATTAAAAAATGTAAACAGAGCAATAAAAATGCTGAAAACAAATACCACATCATGAAAGTGAAATAGACAACGAAGGAAAAACTGTACAAATTATTGCCAACGCTCTGTTTTAATTAATTGGTGATGAGAATGGTAGAATATAACTGCAGTGGATTTCTCTGTGGCTTAACGTGGCAGAAAAATCTGGCAGCAGCAGAAGTGAGCTACCTCCATGATAGAATTTAGAAAATGTCGGCCTTCCCACTGTCTACATTCTGAACACTTCTTGAAGGGAACAAGCATGTTATTGGTTCTTGTCCTATTTCTGCTGTTGTGTCCATATAATTGTAAGTTTATACACACATTTGCTCTTCCTCTCTGTTTTAGACTCTGACAAATGATTTTAAAACAATTTTTTTTTCCTTTCACATTTCCCAAAAAAAAAAAAAAATTTCAATCATTCGACCTCTCAACACTGATTTAATTTATTACTACTACTCTATTAACGTTTGTGTGAACAGTATAAATCATCATGTTATCGGGATCTTCGAGGAAGCAAATAATTGTGACAAACAGTCCAACTGCACTCTAACAGTTATGCCTTCTGAGTTACAAAACGACATCATTGCACTCGGGACATTCTCATAGGCGCTCCGTCCCCATCTTTGTTAGTAAACGTGAAGTTTCAATTCTAATGGTACCAGTAAAACTGATTTTTTGCCCGTCTCGCGCATCTCCTGAGTGTTGAACGTCAGTCAGATCTTTTGATCTCTTCTCGCTGCGCCATTCTCTTCATACCGTGCCACGCCACAGTTTACTCGATCCCAAGGGATCCTTACAACATCTAGATTCTTATTCGTCACTTTATCTCAAAATGGTGCAGTAACAGTTAATTTATCTGCGTGTTGATCTCCCAACAAGCCGGCAAAATATCCAAAGGTTTCTCCCTCTAAAGCGATTCTTGCCACCTGTCTCTACCTTTCTCAGCATGCTTTGTGAGTCCGTTACAGTCACAACAAATATGTGCAGCTGGTTCTGAAGCCAGAAAAAGACTGCAGTTTCCACCTCTATTTTCAAACTTTATGCGTCTCACAACTTCTGACAGTGAAGATAGGGTCCTAATGTTGTATTAAGATTCAGAACTTCTTCTTCGCGTTCACCAGCTGTAAACTCCAGCCGAAAGTTCTAGTTATTCGTCAGCTTTTCAACTTTAGTCTTGTTCCACAATTTAAGTTGTGCATGTACATCCATGTTAAACAACCTGTTTATCTGTATGCAAACAACTGGCGCCTCGCCCTTTCGACAGATGCACTCCAACTTTGTAGGAAACACCCCTAACTTAGTCGCCTTTTATGTCATGCTTGATAGAGAAACAGTAGTTCACCCCATCCCCCACACTAGCGCATCTGGGAGCCACACTGAGCAAATACGCAGAGAAAGGTGAACCTCGCTAATCAAGTGTTTTTAAATTCAGTTTGTATTTCTTTTTGTTTTGTTAACGTTTCAGCAGTGAGCGTGGCAAACCTCAACTATTTTGAGACTCTCAGTCACGTGTCTGTGACTTCAAGCATCAAGAGAGCGGCCGATGGCACCAGAAACATGACCAAACACATACTTTTCCAAGCCTTCGACAGGTAACTCAATTTGGCTGTTTTTGCCAGTAATGCCACTAGTCGGTTCATTATGTTCCTTGTGTGGTTCCGAGATGCCAACTTTGGGGGAAAAAAGAAGAATGCTGTTTACAACAGGTCAATGCGTTTGTCTTCAACAGGGCTCATAGTTTGTCATGTAGGTTCCGTCTCACTGAAAAGATCCGGATAGTCCTGTAAGACATGCCTTGGAGTTCTTTGAGTGCAGCACAATCACGCCTGGCAGAAACAACGAGACCCATTTGGTGTAGGTGGCCTCTGAGTTTACAGCGTCCTATTCTGAGTAAAAAAAAACTCGAGTTTCTAGGCTGTTCTGCCAAACCTTTTTGGGTGTTCTGGTCTGTGATGTTTGGTATGTTCACTCTAGTTCATCTTGACAGTTTGCTTGAATCATATCTGTTACCATTTCATAGTGCTATTGTTCCATGCTTGACTAAACACACTCCTGAACTGATTGAAGTCCTTCACTCTCTAAGGCTGACAATACATATGATACTTATAAATAAGTTAAAGACCTATTTCACGCCATTGGGCGTATATTGTTCGAAACCCATGATTTTAATTTATAGATCAACAGACAGTCATTGTGTAATGTGGTCAACATCATGCCGGACACTTATTACTTCTTAGGACATTTCCTGGTATCTGTTTTGGGCCGGGCAAATACTCATGGGTGCTCGGTTCAAATATAAAAATTGGCCTCAGCAGAGATTCAGACTCAAGATTTTAGGATTGAAGGTACGTGTGTAGCTACTGCGGATTCTAGCAGAGATTCAGACTCAAGATTTTGGGATTGAAGGTACGTGTGTAGCTACTGCGGATTCTAGCAGAGATTCAGACTCAAGATTTTGGGATTGAAGGTAACGTGTGTAGCTACTGCGGCTTCTAGCAGAGATTCAGACTCAAGATTTTGGGATTGAAGGTAAGTGTGTAGCTACTGCGGCTTCTAGCAGAGATTCAGACACAAGATTTTGGGATTGAAGGTAAGTGTGTAGCTACTGCGGCTTCTAGCAGAGATTCAGACACAAGATTTTGGGATTGAAGGTAAGTGTGTAGCTACTGCTGCTTCTAGCAGAGATTCAGACTCAAGATTTTGGGATTGACGGTACGTGTGTAGCCACTGCGGCTTCTAGCAGAGATTCAGACTCAAGATTTTGGGATTGAAGGTACGTGTGTAGCTACTGCGGCTTCTAGCAGAGATTCAGACTCAAGATTTTGGGATTGAAGGTACGTGTGTAGCTACTGCGGCTTCTAGCAGAGATTCAGCCTCAAGATTTTGGGATTGAAGGTAAGTGTGTAGCTACTGCGGCTTCTAGCAGAAATTCAGACTCAAGATTTTGGGATTGAAGGTAAGTGTGTAGCTACTGCGGCTTCTAGCAGAAATTCAGACTCAAGATTTTGGGATTCAAGGTAAGTGTGTAGCTACTGCGGCTTCTAGCAGAGATTCAGACTCAAGATTTTGGGATTGAAGGTAAGTGTGTAGCTACTGCGGCTTCTAGCAGAGATTCAGACTCAAGATTTTGAGATTGAAGGTACGTGTGTAGTTACTGAGGCTTCTAGCAGAGATTCAGACTCAAGATTTTGGGATTGAAGGTACGTGTGTAGCTACTGCGGCTTCTAGTAGAGATTCAGACTCAAGATTTTGGGATTGAAGGTAAGTGTGTAGCTATTACGGCTTCTAGCAGAGATTCAGACTCAAGATTTTGGGATTGAAGGTAAGTGTGTAGCTACTGAGGCTTCTAGCAGAGATTCAGACAAGATTTTGGGATTTAAGGTAAGTGTGTAGCTACTGCGGCTTCTAGCAGAGATTCAGACTCAAGATTTTGGGATTGAAGGTACGTGTGTAGCTACTGCGGCTTCTAGCAGAGATTCAGACTCAAGATTTTGGGATTGAAGGTACGTGTGTAGCTACTGAGGCTTCCATGTTAACTGTAATATATGTTTATATTAGTTAATGCATTTTGTTATATTAGTTTGAAGCATAACACACAATATATTCGTTATATATATATGTACACACACACGGGTGCACCCACCCCCCACACACACACATATTTAAATGTGTAGGGAGTTCCTCTGTTAAAAAAAAAACTTATTATACACAATCAACTTTATCCTGAGGTACTTACATTGTATAATATTTTAATAAACTCTGGGTATCACCACGGCTCGGTGGTTTAGTCGTTTTCCTTACGCTCTGAAGGTAATAGTATTCTTTCATGAACTGCGTCATTTGGTTCATGACTAGGGTCTTTACAGAGACCGCAGCTGGAGCTGTGGAGTTTGTGTTTAATGAAACGCTTCTGACAGGACAGGCTGCTAGCTACTTTGTGATTAAACCCAGTAAAACGAAATTCCTATTTACAAAATTTTCTTCCGTAGAAAACAAATAAACGCTGTGAAATTAATGTTATCATCGGTTCAGTAGTTCTGATTGTTATCTTTCTTTCCTGTATCATTCAGACAGTTTGACCTCACCGTGACCCCAGGCACTCATCTGATGGCCGAAGGATTTCGTGCACGTCTAATTAATGAAGATGGAAGCTCCAGTACTTTTCATTTCGACCACAATCAGATATTCTCTGGACATCTGTCAGGTTATAGTTTCCTACAACTCATTAATCCTTCTGTTTGTGACATTATCCATTGGTCAGTGTGAGTCTTGCTTTGTTTTTTTTCGTTTATTTGAAAATACTCGTCTGTTTAATCATCTGTCTCCTACATATCTCACTATTTGTTTATCTCTTCAACCACTTGTCTGATTTCTCATCTTTGTCGCATTATTTCGCATTAGAGATTTAACAGCTTGAAGAACCTATGGCAAAGCACGTGTAAATTAGTGAGAAGTCAAAATCTTGAGATCATGCATTTTTTCCATGGAGACTTATCATTGTGAGTCCCGGACTCTTGCTCAGTCACTGAAGAAACAAGATTGAAGCTTTTGAATTAAATTTTACAGCAAAATTCTCACAATACCATGGATCAAGAAGAGTAAAAATATCAACATTCCACACGAGTTAAACATCAAGGAGAACTGGCTCATAAACAGCGTCCTGTCCTGTTTGTGCTGAAGTATTCTGGCTACATCAGACGTCGGAGGGAGGGGGGGGGGGGGGTGGTAAAAGACGATAATGCACTGTGTGGAAAGCGAAGCAGGGGTCCACCCCCACGAAGATGGACGCATGACATTAAAGGATGCATTAGCATTGAAAGCACATGGGGCTGATGAGCTGGCTAGGGAAAGGGATACTTTCAGGCGTGCTGTGAAGAGAGCGACGTTCTGTAAAGGACTTGCTGATTGATTGTTTGTGTCTTCTTTGTTCAAAATTTACTACCGAGAAACATTGCGTTAAATTTAACATTGACACAGACACATTGTTTTGTGTTATTGTTGTTGAAACAAACATTACATTAACTTACATGTATTTCTCCTAGACAAATGTTACATCGTTACACTTGTATTCTCTTAGACAAATGTTACATTAACACATTTGTAATATCTTACACAAATGTTACACTGACACACTTGTATTCTCTTAGACAAATGTTACATTGATAGACTTGTATTCTCTTAGACAAATGTTACATTGATACACTTGTATTCTCTTAGACAAATGATGCATTGACACATTTGTAACATCTTAGACAAATGATACATTGATACACTTGTATTCTCAAGGACAAATGTTATACTGATACACTTGTAATATCTTAGACAAATGTTACACTGACACATTTGTAATATCTTAGACAAATGTTACACTGACACATTTATAATATCTTAGACAAATGTTACACTGAAACGTTTATAATATCTTGGGTAAGTTTCACATTAACACAGATGATTTCTATCAGACAGACCAGATGTAAGAGTTCATGCACACAAAGAAGAGAGTCTGTGGTCTGTTCAGATCTTCGACCATGACAACGTCTATATTGTCGAGGTGGGCATTCGGTATCTCTCTGTTTGCTTGAGGTTCCCTGTAACTAATTACATTTGTTTTATTGTTTTGCAGTTACCTTTTGATTATTTTGTTGCTTTTTTTTCGTTTGTCTTGTTGTTTCTTTGATTATTATTTTTTCTTCAGTTATTTTGATGTTTCTTTATTTTTGTTTGGGTTAAATTGATTACTTTTTTGTTTCTTGAATGATTTAATGTTTAATATTTTTTAATTACACCCCCCCCCCTCATTATTTGGTTGTTCCTTCAATTATTTTGGGGTTTCTTCAATTTGTGTGTGTGTTAGTTATTTGATATAAATTCCTGTTTTCCATGATCTGTTAATAGCCCCTTTTATCCAATCATATCTTGGCATTTAGGTCACCAGTAAAAGTTGTCAAAATGCCATTTCTGCGAATATTGGTTGTACTTTTTATTTTCCTGTAAACACCACCCTTTAATGATTCTTCTTGATCATCTGACTGTGCATAATAACATTGTTGGCCATTACTTATTTTTGTCATTTTTTGTTGTTGTGCGGTTGTTCTGAATTTTGCTTTTATCATTTTTAAAAACTCACTGATTCCATCTGTGGTAATGCTTTTTCAGCCTCCTAAGATTGCATTAGGACTGCTTCTTCACATTGAGAAACATTGTCTCTGTATGGTTATCTGTGTTAGATACAAACTCAGTTGAGTCATGCTTCTTCTTCCCCAGCCAGCCTGGAGACTACTGACACCGGCAGACAACCCTAACAATGACACACTGATAGCATACAGAGCTTCTGACCTGAAGTCTGACAGCTTTAACAGGTCAGTCATACACCATCTCTGATAGCTTCAATATAGGTAAGTCTTACGCCAGGTCTAACAGCTTCATTAGGTAAGACAAACACTATCTCTGATAGCTTCAATATAGGTAAGTCATACACCATCTCTGATAGCTTCAATATAGGTAAGACAAACACGATCTCTGATAGCTTCAATATAGGTAAGTCATACACCATCTCTGATAGCTTCAATACAGGTAAGTCATACACCATCTCTGATAGCTTCCATATAGGTAAGTCATACACCATCTCTGATAGCTTCAATATAGGTAAGTCATACACCACCTCTGATAGCTTCAATGTGTGTGTCATACTCTCTGTCATTTTTTATTCTGTGACTATAATCTTGAACTTACACATCCAGAAAGAAAAATGCAAGCATTGGAAATGAGATTTGTTTAAAGATCCTAGTTATATCATATAGAGATCACATTACACATGCAGTTTGCACTATCATCACTCAGCACACTGGCAACAATGAACCTATTTTAACAACAGTGGAGAAACAGAAAAAACAATAGTACAGACCTATAACCAGATCTACCAGCGCTTTAAAAATATTGCCTGATGACTTTGTCGAGGGGAGGAGGAGAAGAAGTGGACCAGAATAGACCTGGATAGAGTATGTGGCTGCCCAGACAGGTCTCACACCTGCAATTGTGTGGTCTGTTGCACCAGCACTATAGATATGGGGGCAGCTGATCTGTCAGGCAGTTACATCTGGTGACCAAAAGAGCCCAATTATGAGACTATGCTGATGATAGAAGTAGAATCCTTAGAATTCCTTGGACAGCTAAGAAGAGCAACCCAGATGTTTTGTTAGAGGCGAATGCTCAAAGACAACTTATCACAAACATCAGAAAGAGACAGTCATCAATTTTTTGGTCATGTCATGAGACGAGCAAAAATAGAACTTGATGTGACCACTGGAAAGACCTGTGGAAAAAAAGAGACAGCGGAAGACAGGGTGAGAAGATTCTTGACATACTTTTATTATGGCATGGAGGGGTGTCAACACACGCAGTCGCAGATTGTGGAGAGGCATGATCGATCACGCTACTTGATGATGATATGATGATGATGATGATGATGATGATGATGATGATGATGATGATGATGATGATGATGATGATGATGATGATGATGAGGTAATAATCTTTTACAGAAAAAAAATGACAACTTGAAGAGTTAAGTTACACATCATGGCTACCGATGCTGAATTAAGAATCAACATCATAGCACTCGAAATACACTCCCAAAAACGCTCCGTTTCCATCTTCAGCAACAAGCGAAGAGTTCCGATTTCGATGGCACCGGTAACTCGGTCTCGCCTTTTCCTTGAGTGTTGAGCGTCGACCAGATCCCCTGGTAACTTCTCGCAGCGCCATTCTCCTCAGACCGTGATAATCTATTTGTTTCTCCGCACTGTTCCATCGTCCCTAAACTGCCCTCACAAAACTAGCTGGTCATACACACACAACCAAGTGGGGCAAACTACTTTATGAGGATGCCCGCAGAGGCCCTAGCTCATGGTCTGGGTATCAATACCAAAACAGTGATCTTTCTAGTCAGGAGCTCGGGCTTCTTGCACGTGGCGATCCACGTCCCAACATTGTGGCCCCTGAGTAAACCTATCTAAACAGCACTGGGTCATTCAGTATTCCGTAATCTTTGACAACTCCCATAACTTCTGACAGCTTCAGTAATTAGGTTATACATCACATCTGTCGTTAATTATTCTCTGACTGTGATCTTTCACTGTTTACATGACAGCTTATGACCTGACATCAGACACTTTCAGTAAGTATTAAACATGATGTTACTGATGATATCCTATCCTTAGCTATCACTTCAGCGTGTTATTGTTGACAGAATTCTTCAGCTCTCATCCCTTTGATATTATTGATATACTGACTTAAACTGTCACTTCTGTGAGGCTGTTGTTGATATCTTGTCTTTAGCCCCTATCTCTGTGATCTTTTTGATATCCTGTCTTTAGCTGTCACTTCTATGATGCTATGGTGGATATCCAGTCTTCAGCTCTCATCTCTGTGATATTGTTCTTATCCTATCTCTAGCTGTCACTTCTGTGATGCTGTGGTGGATATCATTTCTCTAGCTCTCACCTCTGCGCTGTTGTTATCCTTTCTTTAGCTCTCACTTCTGTGATGCTGTTGCTGAAATCCTGTCTTTAACTCCCACCTCTCTGATCTCATAGCTTATATCCTGTCTTATACCCACGTATATTATGATATTATCCATATTCTGTTTGCAGTTCCCAGTTTTGTGGCACGAAATCCCCCAAGAAATCAGAAATATACCACCATCTTCTTGAACGACATCATGGCTTCAAACTTCACAAACAAGGTATCTATAGTTCCGGTGATGACTTGTAACAGATATTGTCCTGTAGTTGTGTGTGTGTTGATGCTTTTATTGTCCCCCCAGCATTCTTGTTGATTATTTCTGTGTTGTTGGGTGTGTATACTTTCATTCTCCCTAGCAGACTGGCTGATTGTTTCTATGTCCTGTCTGCAATGGCGAAGCAAAGTCAGGCGGAACATTTTCTGTCATTCCTTCTGCTCCCCCCTCCCCACCCCACAATATATAAACAAACACACACACACACACACACTTTTACTTTTAAAACACATATTTCAACCATTTTGCCCCTTTTTTGAAGATCGCTCCACAACCGCTTAGTCTTATTTGAAGTTTCAACCTCATCGCAGTCAGGTTTCCCCATACTTGCTCCGCTCCTGTGCCAGTGCAAATCAAATGATATGTCCTTCACTGTCGCATTAAAAAACTGTTGAACAAACAACTAGTCCCCGAACGTAAAATTATTACATAAGGTATTTCACCAGTTCACACGTGAACCGGCTACTGGTCACACTGAATTCCACAACACCATCGCTGCACAAATGAAAGGCATTCCACATGAAAAACACAGCTCACAGCACTATACTCGGTAGCTCAGGCAGCGAAACCGTAGACTAACCGTCCTTATGTGTAAACTGCATTAGCAAAGCGCTGTCAGAAGCTAAAATAACTTCGAAGCTTATTCTGCCAAGCCTTTCCTCCATTTTGACCTAAAAATGGCCGCAACCACTTTTTTTTAAACCACTGTCAATGTGTGCATGTCGTCTTAATCAAATAGTTTTTGTTAGTAACCTATCTGTTATTTTATGTTTGTTTCTGTTAGGTTATTTTGGATAACATTTTGTTATTGTTGTGTTATAATAAATTTAAAAACAAAATAATTGTTTTTGCTGTGTAATTGTGGGTTACTGCTGCACCGTTGTGAGATATTGTTGTATCATTGTGAGCTATTGCTGCACCATTGTGAGTTATTGTTGTGTTATTGTGGTTTATTGCCGCGCCATTGTGAGTTATTGCTGTGTAATTGTGGGTTACTGCTGCCCCGTTGTGAGTTACTGCTGTATAATTGTAAGTTTTGTTAAGCCATTGTGAATGATTGCTGCAAGTTTATACTATGTCAATGTGGATTATTTCTTTGTCATTGTGAGTTAATATGTGTAATGGGGAGTTATTGTTATGTCAGTTTAAGTTATCATTGTGTTGTGAGTTATTTTTGCCCCACTGTCAGCTATTGTTGCGTCATCATATGTGATCGTTCTGCCGCGGCAAGTTATTGCATGCTTCTTTTGTGTCATTGTTAGTGATTTTTATGTTGTGAGATATTGTTGTCTCATTGTGTTTTATTGTTGCCTCAGTTACACTGTATGTTATCGTGTCATTGTGAGGTGTTGCTGCACTATGGTATGTTACTGTTGTGTCACTGTGAGGTGTTGCTGCACTATGGTATGTTACTGTTGTGTCACTGTGAGGTGTTGCTACACTATGGTATGTTACTGTTGTGTCACTGTGAGGTGTTGCTACACTATGGTATGTTACTGTTGTGTCACTGTGAGGTGTTGCTGCACTATGGTATGTTACTATTGTGTCATTGTGAGGTGTTGCTGCACTATGGTATGTTACTATTGTGTCATTGTGAGGTGTTGCTGCACTATGGTATGTTACTATTGTGTCATTGTGAGGTGTTGCTACACTATGGTATGTTACTGTTGTGTCACTGTGAGGTGTTGCTGCACTATGGTATGTTACTATTGTGTCATTGTGAGGTGTTGCTGCACTATGGTATGTTACTGTTGTGTCATTGTGAGGTGTTGCTGCACTATGGTATGTTACTATTGTGTCATTGTGAGGTGTTGCTGCACTATGGTATGTTACTGTTGTGTCATTGTGAGGTGTTGCTGCACTATGGTATGTTACTATTGTGTCATTGTGAGGTGTTGCTGCACTATGGTATGTTACTATTGTGTCATTGTGAGGTGTTGCTGCACTATGGTATGTTACTGTTGTGTCACTGTGAGGTGTTGCTGCACTATGGTATGTTTCTATTGTGTCACTGTGAGGTGTTGCTGCACTATGGTATGTTACTGTTGTGTCATTGTGAGGTGTTGCTGCACTATGGTATGTTACTGTTGTGTCATTGTGAGGTGTTGCTACACTATGGTATGTTACTGTTGTGTCATTGTGAGGTGTTGCTGCACTATGGTATGTTACTATTGTGTCATTGTGAGGTGTTGCTGCACTATGGTATGTTACTGTTGTGTCATTGTGAGGTGTTGCTGCACTATGGTATGTTACTGTTGTGTCACTGTGAGGTGTTGCTGCACTATGGTATGTTACTGTTGTGTCACTGTGAGTGTTGCTACACTATGGTATGTTACTATTGTGTCATTGTGAGGTGTTGCTGCACTATGGTATGTTACTGTTGTGTCATTGTGAGGTGTTGCTGCACTATGGTATGTTACTGTTGTGTCATTGTGAGGTGTTGCTGCACTATGGTATGTTACTGTTGTGTCATTGTGAGGTGTTGCTGCACTATGGTATGTTACTGTTGTGTCACTGTGAGGTGTTGCTACACTATGGTATGTTACTATTGTGTCATTGTGAGGTGTTGCTGCACTATGGTATGTTACTGTTGTGTCATTGTGAGGTGTTGCTGCACTATGGTATGTTACTGTTGTGTCATTGTGAGGTGTTGCTGCACTATGGTATGTTACTGTTGTGTCATTGTGAGGTGTTGCTGCACTATGGTATGTTACTGTTGTGTCATTGTGAGGTGTTGCTGCACTATGGTATGTTACTATTGTGTCATTGTGAGGTGTTGCTGCACTATGGTATGTTACTGTTGTGTCACTGTGAGGTGTTGCTACACTATGGTATGTTACTGTTGTGTCACTGTGAGGTGTTGCTGCACTATGGTATGTTACTGTTGTGTCACTGTGAGGTGTTGCTACACTATGGTATGTTACTATTGTGTCATTGTGAGGTGTTGCTGCACTATGGTATGTTACTGTTGTGTCATTGTGAGGTGTTGCTGCACTATGGTATGTTACTGTTGTGTCATTGTGAGGTGTTGCTGCACTATGGTATGTTACTGTTGTGTCATTGTGAGGTGTTGCTGCACTATGGTATGTTACTGTTGTGTCATTGTGAAATTGTCTTATTATATTGCATGTGATAGTTTACTTATTGTGTCCGTGTGTCTTATTATTTATCAGTGTATTTTGTACTTATCTGTAATGTTGTGAGTTGTTGTCATGTCACTGTGTGTGTGTGTGCGCGCGCGCGCGTGTGTGTGTGTGTATTATGTCGGTTCTTGTTTTATAATTGTGTGGGATGTATACTGGTGAGCCACTGTAATGTGAAAGTAGCAATGGCGTACATTACACCTGTTACTGAGTTGAGTTGAGTCAGGAATTGACATCACCGCACTCGGGACATTTCTATGCGTGATCCGTCCTTATCTTTAGCAGCCAGCGCAGATTCCAATACTGATGGATCTGTTAGCGAGATGACTAAAAGTAAATAATTAAAATTTTTCTGGAGGAGCCAAGTGACAAGAAGACACTTCAATTAATCCCTTTCCATTTAAACAGCTCTGACCACAGAGTAAAGATAATGTAAGGCCCGACAATTAGGTAACGAGACTAATTCCATAGAAATTAAAATAATCAAAAGTTGAAGATATAACCTGTATTTTATTCGAAGCAAGTTCCTTGTGCATTGATACAGCAAGTGGCACGATCTAACAAACGCTGGAACGAACTCTGTAGTTCTTATGATTTTATGGCCCTTAAAGCCGATGTTACGACCATTTCATCATCATGTATCAGGTCCTTTGCAGAACGTCGCTTTCATCACAGTCTGCCTGAAAGAGACTCGGTCTCTTGCCAGTTATCCCGCCTCATGAACTTTCACACTCAAGGAGTCACTTATATCCTGTGCCCATCTTCGTGTCGGTCGGCCCCTGCCCCTCCTTCCTGGTACCATGCCTTCTGCTATAATTTTTCCAATCCGTCGTGGCGCTTGATATGACTAAAATATGTCAGCTTTCGAGAAAGGATGGTGTTTATTAGCCAATCTTCCTTGATGTTCTTTTAAGATGTCAATATTTCTCATCTTCTTTGTCCAAGATATACCGAGAATCTTTCTATAGCATTTCAGCCAAAAGCCACAATTCTCTTTCTTAAGGAATGAGAGATAGTCCGCAGGGAAGATCCATGCTCTCAAAATTCTAATTTTTTTATCTCCTTGCTGGAGCTTAACCATAGACTTTTAAGTCTGTTCAATCTTTGCATTGCTAGAGCCATCCTCCTTTTAATTTCTGTCGAACAGTCTCCGTTGTTGTTTATTAGCTCCTTTCAATCGTAGCTTTAATTTTGGGAATAGAAAATAATCACAGGGAGACAAATCTGGGGAATAGGGTGGAAGGCTGAGAACACACACTTGTTTCTAGGCCAAGAATTCTTGTTTTGATGATGTCTCTTGGGTACTTAACCCGCTGATGTTTTGGGTCATCAGACAACGAGTGTGGTGAAAAACGGCAAGCAGCTTTTTTCTTGCTAAAATCTTGCACTAAAATGTTATGAATGGTCTCTCTATTAACACCGAAATCATTTGCGATCATCCTCACAGTAAAAGAATGATCTTCTTGTATCCGTTCTCTGACTTTTGCAATAAGTTCATCATTACGAACAGAAATTTGGCGTCCAGGTCTAGGTGCATTAGTAATCATTTCCACACCACTTTTAAATCGTAAAAAAAAAAACAACAAACAAACATGAAACGTTTGCACTAGTTAAACAATTATCCCCATAAACTTGTTGCATCAAATCAACTGTTTCAATGGCACTTTTTCTGAGTCTTAAAAAAAATTTTACTGTTAGCCTTTTGCTCCATGCTGATTACGTAACAATGCACCTCTGACTATGTCAACAAAAGGGCGGCTTGTTTGTTGTCTGCTTATCGAGCGGCGATGAAACGTTGCCAGATCATTAGATAAATCTGCCTCTTTAGATTTAATGCTTTGTTTCATAAATGGCATTTTTGTCTTAGATATAATAAAAATCAGTCTCATTACTTAATTGTCAAACCGTGTATATCTGTCGCAGCATTAAAATCTTGCTGTGGTAATCATACCAGGCGCATCGATTTGAAAAAATCGCCTCATCTACAGCCTAGGCGTTCTTAATCCAGGCGGTATCAATATCCAGTTTACCTTCGTCTAAACAGTTTTACTCTTATCCCTAGAGGTTGTGTGTTGTACATATGTTAGTGACATAATTGTAACATGAAAGCATCACTAAAGTTTGTGTATTTTACATATGTTAGTGAGATAATTGTAACATAAAAGCATCACTAGAGTTTGTGTATTTTACACATGTTAGTGAGATAAATATAACATGAAAGCATCACTAGAGTTTGTGTATTTTACACATGTTAGTGAGATAAATGTAACATAAAAGCATCACTAGAGGTTGTGTATTTTACACATGTTAGTGAGATAAATGTAACATAAAAGCATCACTAGATTTTGTGTATTTTACATATGTTAGTGAGATAAATGTAACATAAAAGCATCACTATAGGTTGTGTATTTTACACATGTTAGTGAGATAAATGTAACATAAAAGCATCACTAGAGGTTGTGTATTTTACATATGTTAGTGAGATAATTGTAACATAAAAGCATCACTATAGGTTGTGTATTTTACACATGTTAGTGAGATAAATGTAACATAAAAGCATCACTAAAGTTTGTGTATTTTACATATGTTAGTGAGATAATTGTAACATAAAAGCATCACTATAGGTTGTGTATTTTACACATGTTAGTGAGATAAATGTAACATAAAAGCATCACTAGAGGTTGTGTATTTTACACATGTTAGTGAGATAAATGTAACATAAAAGCATCACTAGATTTTGTGTATTTTACATATGTTAGTGAGATAATTGTAACATAAAAGCATCACTATAGGTTGTGTATTTTACACATGTTAGTGAGATAAATGTAACATAAAAGCATCACTAGAGGTTGTGTATTTTACACATGTTAGTGAGATAAATGTAACATAAAAGCATCACTAGATTTTGTGTATTTTACATATGTTAGTGAGATAATTGTAACATAAAAGCATCACTATAGGTTGTGTATTTTACACATGTTAGTGAGATAAATGTAACATAAAAGCATCACTAGAGGTTGTGTATTTTACACATGTTAGTGAGATAATTGTAACATGAAAGCATCACTAAAGTTTGTGTATTTTACATATGTTAGTGAGATAATTGTAACATAAAAGCATCACTAGAGGTTGTGTATTTTACACATGTTAGTGAGATAAATGTAACATAAAAGCCTCACTAGAGGTTGTGTGTTGTACATATGTTAGTGACATAATTGTAACATGAAAGCATCACTAGAGGTTGTGTGTTTTACGTATATAAGTGAGATAATCATAAAATGTAAGTTACACTAGACGCTGTGTATGTTACATCTGCCAGTAAGATAATCGTAACAAGAAAGTAGCACTGCAACACTGTTTGTGTTACATATGCTAGTAAGACAATCATAAAAGTTACACTCCAGATTGTGTATTTTACATGTGTCACAGGTAAGAATTGTATGACAAGCAAGAGATCCATTGACAATCCGGTCTGTGTGCTTTACCTGGTTGGAGATTATACATTTTACAAAGGAGTGTGCTTAGGCAGTCACGCTTCTTGTGTAGCTTTCATGGTGAGTTATGGCGGTCGACACTGTACCACACATGTGCGCGCGCACGCACTCACTCACCAACACACACATACATACTTGATTCCATGCAGAAACAAACACACAAACATACCTAAATACGCAAACATACATAAACCCACAGACGTACACACACAGACATACACAAACACAGCATACCCAAACATACTTACATACCAAAACACACAGATATACCCAAACACACAGATACCCAAACACACATATACCTAAACACACATTTACCCAAACACACAGATACCCAAACACACAGATACCCAAACACACAGATACCCAAACACACATATACCGAAACACACATATAGCCAAGCACACAGATACCCGAACATACAGACATACTAAAACACGCAAACATACCACAACACACAGACATACCCAGACAGACAGTCATACCCAAATACACAGACATACCCCAAAAACACTTGCACATCCGTACAGTAATATAGAGCACTACTTGTTGGGGTGTCAGAAATAAGAACTTGAAATATTACTGACTATGAATCTATGTAAATTATGTAACAGACACTTTCCCACGCTTGCATGCATGTTGGTCATGTAACGCTAGACCTGCAATTCATAGCCCACATGGTACTCGACGGATAAAGTGGTTAATGCCACTCCGACCGCCTCTAACTCCCAGGACTTTACTGGTGCCTATTTTAGGCTGTATCGACCTGGGAGCTAGGGTAGTTAAAAAGAAACAAGTCAGACTGCTTTCGGATTTGAAGCAACAACCTTCAGATCTGCATTGCAAGCATCTACTCTATGGAGGCTCCTTGTAAATTATCTGTGACGAAAACGAGTTGCACACGGACAGCCATGGAGCCCGGCTTGGGAAGATCCAGAAGTTGATTGCTAAAACTAATGTTCAGACACAGAAGGGTAAAGGAATGCACATTCAGTTTTAGACAGATAATGGCTTCGAAGTCTAAAATGAAGAAGGGTGACCAAGGGCTATACAAATGAAAAAATAAATCCACTGTTTTAACGACACGATATAGGTAAGATTACCTCTTCTTTCTACTTCTTTCTACGAGTACCGATCAGCCCATTTTCTGTTACTTTATTAATATATAATTTAATTGTTAGCACAACCCCGAAAGGTATCAATAGGACAATAATAATACAAAACACACAAACATACTTCAGTTAAGCAGTCAAGCCCGCGCATATATACTCAAGCAGAAATACCCAAACATGATCACTTCAGAATTGATCACTTCACAATTGATCACTTCAGAATTGATCACTTTAGAATTGATTACTTCAGAATGGATCACTTTAGAATTGATCACTTCAAAATTGATCACTTTAGAATTGGTCACTTCAGAATTGATCACTTTAGAATCGATCACTTCAGAATGGATCACTTTAGAATTGATCACTTCAAAATTGATCACTTTAGAATTGGTCACTTCAGAATTGATCACTTCAGAATGGATCACTTTAGAATTGATCACTTCAGAATTTATCACTTCACAATTGATCACTTCAGAATTGATCACTTCAGAATTGATCACTTTAGAATTGATCACTTCAAAATTTATCACTTCAGAATTGATCACTTCAGAATTGATCACTTTAGAATTGATCACTTCAAAATTTATCACTTTAGAATTGGTCACTTCAGAATTGATTACTTCAGAAATGATCACTTTAGAATTGATCACTTCAGAATTGATCACTTCAGAATTGATCACTTCAAAATTGATCACTTTAGAATTGGTCACTTCAGAATTGATCACTTCAGAATGGATCACTTTAGAATTGATCACTTCAGAATTTATCACTTCACAATTGATCACTTCAGAATTGATCACTTCAGAATTGATCACTTTAGAATTGATCACTTCAGAATTGATCACTTCAGAATTGATCACTTCATCTAGAACCTGCGGTAGCAGCAGACAGCCTTACCTGATGTTTAGAAAGGCCAAGAAATTAAAGCAAATCTGTTTCCTTTTAGTTTTCACCACCTGTAAACTTCGGTGAAGAGTTCTGGTTGTTCGACCGCTTCTGGACCTTGATCCAGAATTTGAGCTTTATGTGCACATCCAGTTCACAGATCTGGTTTACCTGTATACATACTGTTGGTTCCTCGCTTCTCAGGCAGACGTACTCTAGCTTTGAAGGAAGCGTCATCGATAGTGTTGCGTTTTACGACATAGCAGTAAGCCTTTTACCACCACCCCCTACCCCTCATGTGGAAGCCCGAAACCTACACGGGGTATGTAGCGAATCTGTTCAGTGTTATGATCGTTGTTATATCACACTGATGTAACAGAGTATTAGAAAACAGCAGACGCTTCAGTAACGCCTACCAAGAATATCGTAAAAGGCAATAAAGGATAGTTAAACGTGAGGCTGGCTACACACTGATGTAACGAAAAAGCTTCAGCTGCAAAAAAAACCCAGAAAATCAATTTGATAGACTATTCTCCGTCGTAAACATGCAGGAAGTGATGCTGGCAAGGAAAATATCGGAAACATAGTAAAAGCAAAAAAAAGTAAAGATCCCATTTCACGCCTTTAGGCGCATCGGACATATTTTTACAGACCAATCGGCACAAGGTGGGTAATGTGGTCAGCATTACATCGGCCGTCTTTATTTCCCCAGGACATACATCATGGTATCCGTTTTAGGCTGGGTTAACCTGCGACGCCCTATACCACGATAAAAATCTACGCAGCCAGCTGTGGGTTGCAATCGCGGTAAGTTGGAATTACGAGTCGGACTCGCAACACCTAAGCCACGGATGCCGCATCGGGAAAATAATCATTCAATACAAAGTAAGGGTAAAGGAACCTTTTCCTTTAGGCGTATTGGGCATATAAGGTTAGACCTATATTTTTATAGATCAATCGCCACTTTGTGGATGATGTGGTCAAAATCACGTCGGCCGCATTTACTTCTAGGGACTGTGGCCGGTACCCACTCAGGGCTGGGTCGACCTGAGAGCCAAACTCATTTTTGGGAACATGTCCCAATCCGTCAGGACCCGAACCCACGACCTTCCAGTTCGCAGAGGAGCTTCAAGCTGCTACACCACGATGGCTCTCAATCATTCAGTTAAGCTGGTGAAAAAAAGCAGTAGGAAAGTTCACACCATTAAAGATCAATGAACAACAAACAGATCAGGGAAGGCTAACCCGGGCACAAGTCGGATGTGTCGGCTGAAAGGCGCAAATATCGTAGCTATGTTGTGAATGGGCAACAAACACATTTACGTCTTAGCATCAATGCAAAGGAGAAGTAATGAGTAGAGGGACTGAATTCTGTTTGAAAGATACTAGAAACAAAACCACCCTTGGATACAGAAGCTGAGCTAAAAATCAGCGATCAGAGATCCATTGTAGCCAGCCTCAACTATGGAGTTCATTGCTGACTGAAGGACTCGATATAGAAGCCATAGTACAGAAGGCAAATGCTGACAGGGTTACGAATACCAGCATTAAAGAGAAAGTTGTAATAAGGCCGTGTCTGGATTATATTGACACACAAATAAGGAAATAGTTCGGCCATCTAGTAAGAATGCAGCCAAACTAGACTACGTATGGGACTTTTTACAGTAGAACATCTGGGAGGAAGACGAGAGGAAGACCAAGAAAGAGATGAATGAATAGTGTAACTGAAACCTGCAAAAAGATGAACAAATCCATCACTCAAGCCACCTGAGAAGCGCCAGACAAATATAGAAAACCACGACACTGGGCTACAACCTGGTATCAGTGAGACGAAAAAACCACGACACTGGGCTACAACCTGGTATCAGTGAGACGACAAAACCACGACACTGGGCTACAACCTGGTATCAGTGAGACGACAAAACCAAGACACTGGGCTACAACCTGGTATCAGTGAGACGACAAAAGAAGAAGAAGAATGAGACCTGCACTGTGCATATAGATTCTGATGCTACTGTGTTTTTAGTGAGTTTTTATAAACACTTACGTCAGACAGTCATACCACGACACATTGTGTTTTCAGTTCGCATCGGTTAACTTCGTGGATAATATTTTCACGACATCAAAGTTTGAAGGTTCAAATCAAAAGACCTACCTTGGTGTTGGCGTACAGGTCGGAGAGGTAACATACATCTCATGAATCAGCTACGGTCAGCATAAGTAGAGGTTTTGTTGTTGTGTGACGGTTGAAGACAGTTACACTAATTCCATCGATGTTTTACTTATGTTAGGTGTTACATCTATGTCGACGCTGTCGGTGATTTCTAGTAACTCGGTAGATTTGGCATCATCCTGAATGTAAATAGGAAATATATATAATTTCTAAACAGGGGGACATATCGACTATTTCCTTTATGTCAGTAATTGTCCTGCCTTGGTATCACATCAGTCATTTTCTTGCCCTAGAATATATCACTTCAGTCATTTCCTTGCCCTGGAATATATCACATCAGCCATTTCCTTGCCCTAGAATATATCACATCAGTCATTTCCTTGCCCTGGAATATATCACATCAGCCATTTCCTTGCCCTAGAATATATCACATCAGCCATTTCTCTGCCCTGGAATATATCACATCAGTCATTTCTCTGCCCTGGAATATATCACATCAGTCATTTCCTTGCCCTGGAATATATCACATCAGCCATTTCCTTGCCCTGGAATATATCACATCAGCCATTTCCTTGTCCTGGAGTATATCACATCAGCCATTTCCTTGCCCTGGAATATATCACATCAGTCATTTCCTTGTCCTGGAATATATCACATCAGTCATTTTCTTGCCCTGGAATATATCACATCAGTCATTTCCTTGCCCTGGAATATATCACATCAGCCCCTGGAATATATCACATCAGCCATTTCTCTGCCCTGGAATATATCACATCAGCCATTTCCTTGCCCTGGAATATATCACATCAGTCATTTCCTTGTCCTGGAATATATCACATCAGTCATTTCCTTGCCCTGGAATATATCACATCAGTCAATATATCACATCAGCCATTTCCTTGCCCTGTCATTTCCTTGTCCTGGAATATATCACATCAGCCATTTCCTTGCCCTGGAATATATCACATCAGTCATTTCCCTGCCCTGGAATATATCACATCAGCCATTTCTTGCCCTGGAGTATATCACATCAGCCATTTCTCTGCAAAAAGCAGCCATTGCCTTGGAACATATAAGTCCTCTCACTGAGACAGACATGTGGCAGTGAGTACACATAATGTCAAATGACACATGCTGTACAATTAGAGGCTCTGTAGACAACCTGATGACCAACAGTATATGGCATAAACTTAGAAGGTTGTAGGCTGTGGGCAAACCCAGTGACAAATGACACATGGCATAAACTAAAAAAGGTTGTAGGCTGTGAGCAAACCCAGTGACAAATGACACATGGCATAAACTTAGAAGGTTGTAGGCTGTGAGTAAACCCAGTGACAAATGACACATGGCATAAACTAAAAAAGGTTGTAGGCTGTGAGCATACCCAATGACAAATGACACATGGCATACACTGAGAAGGTTGTAGGCTGTGAGCATACACAATGACAAATGACACATGGAATAAAGTGAGGAGATACTAGACTGTGAGCATGCACACTGACACATGCCATAAACTGAGTAGATGTGCTGCAGTGAGGATACACACTGACAAGTGACACGTGACACATGACACTGGTGGTACGAAGACTGGAGGTCATGTGTCAGTTGTCAGTGTGTATCCTCACTGCGGCAAATCTCCTCCGTCTATAGCATGTGTCAGTGCTCACAGCTTCGTATTTCCTCTACATATATCCTCAGTGTATGCTATGTGTCACTTGTCAGTGTGTATCCTCACTGCGGCAAATCTCCTCAGTCTATAGCATGTGTCAGTGCTCACAGCTTCGTATTTCCTCAAGCGACTTCCAGCACCAGATGTCGTGGACTGTAAACAAACAGGAGTCAGTGAACACACATAGCATAGCAACATACACATTCTTCTTTTACTTCTTCGACCCTTTATTGCCCCCCCCCCCCCCCCCCCCACGCGTATAGTGTAAGCCCTCAACCAACTCACACTAAGCCGACCTATCCTTTTCTATCACAGGCAGTTCACCCATGTCCTCCCTAGCTTTTTAATTCTAGTTTCCGTGTCCATGGTGATTTTCTGGCTGCCTGTATTCTTTTGACTCTGTAGGCTCCGGTGCAAAGAGATTCTAGTTATATTTCTTTATGGTTTTTTGTGTGGTTTTTTTTGGGACTTTTGTTTTTACTGGATGAGAAAACAAACCCCCAACCACCCTTTATCGCCTCTTACGACAAGACTGTTACTATTCTTCGCTTACACATGTTGTCACAGTATCAGATTCGCAAAGCATGTTCTGAAGGTAAAGCCAGGTTTTCTTAGCATGGAACGGGTTGCACCAATGCAGAGGTCCCAGTGTGTGAGAATTCCATGAATCTTTTGCACAGGACATACATGCGTGTTTGGGAATGAGCAGTGAGCAGGCATAGGCAGGGCTGGGCTGGGCTGGCTCCACTTGGGGTCTTGGTAATACACGGATGGAACAGCTTTTCACATTAACTTTAACAATACAGGTGTCCACCTACGGGTTCTGGGGCCCATTTTTGGGAAGAGTAGGGATCCACTGAACCCTAACAAGCATGTCGTAACAGGCAGTTATTAGGGGTGCTTCTATTAAAGTATATCTGTTTGCTAAGGAATTATCTAACAGTCTGCTAACAATTAAGACAGACAAGTGAAACGGATGTGCACACAAATCCCAAGACATGTACAAAACCAAAATCCCAAAGTAGATAAACAACCAGTATTTTCCACCAGATTTGTCAGCTGGTGAACGCTAATTAGAAGAAGAAAAAACAGGAGGCTGAAGACAAATGTGACCACCAGTGCCTCATGGCATGGGCTATTATAGAAATATGTTTTTGTTGTCAATGAGTATCCAGCAGCCATCTCTGTGGTTCAGGAATCTTGACAGAGCACTGATCGGATAGCTTCAGTCTTTACTGTGTTCACAGTACCACTTTGTTAGGGCAGTGATTTGATAGCTTCAGTCTTTACTGTGTCTGTAGTGTGTCTACAGTTCCACTGTGCTAGGGCACTGATCGGATAGCTTCAGTCTTTACCGTGTCTATAGTGTGTCTACAGTACCACTGTGTTAGGGCAGTGATCTGATAGGTTCAGTCTTTACAGTGTCTATAGTGTGTCTACAGTACCGCTCTATTAGGGCAGTGATCTGATAGCTTCAGTCTTTACAGTGTCCATAGTGTGTCTACAGTACCACTCTATTAGGGCAGTGATCTGATAGCTTCAGTCTTTACAGTGTCTATAGTGTGTCTACAGTACCACTGTGTTAGGGCAGTGATCTGATAGCTTCAGTCTTTACTGTGTCTATAGTGTGTCTACAGTACCCCTGTGTTAGGGCAGTGATCTGATAGCTTCAGTCTTTACCGTGTCTATAGTGGGTCTACAGTACCACTGTGTTAGAGCACTGATCTGATAGCTTCAGTCATTACTATGTCTATAGTGGGTCTACAGTACCACTGTGTTAGGGCAGTGATCTGATAGCTTCAGTCTTTACAGTGTCTATGGTGTGTCTACAGTACCACTGTGTTAGGGCAGTGATCTAATAGCTTCAGTCTTTACAGTGTCTATAGTGTGTCTACAGTACCACTGTGTTAGGGCAGTGATCTGATAGCTTCAGTCTTTACCGTGTCTATAGTGTGTCTACAGTATGGGTGTTAGGTCAGTGATCACTGATAGCTTCAGTCTTTACCGTGTCTATATTGTGTCTACAGTACCACTGTGTTAGGGCAGTGATCTGATAGCTTCAGTCTTTACTGTGTCTATAGTGTGTCTACAGTACCACTGTGTTAGGGCAGTGATCTGATAGCTTCAGTCTTTACTGTGTCTATAGTGTGTCTACAGTACCACTGTGTTAGGGCAGTGATCTGATAGCTTCAGTCTTTCTATAGTGTGTCTACAGTACCACTGTGTTAGAGCACTGATCTGATAGCTTCAGTCATTACTGTGTCTATGGTGTGTCTACAGTACCACTGTGTTAGAGCACTGATCTGATAGCTTCAGTCATTATTGTGTATATAGTGTGTCTACAGTACCACTGTGTTAGGGCAGTGATCTGATAGCTTCAGTCTTTACCGGGTCTCATAGCAGTGTTCACAGTACCACTGTGTTATTGATCTGTAGTTCAGTCTTTAAGTGTCTATAGTGTGTCTACAGTCCCACCACTGGATCTTGAATTGTTGTGTCGACTGTAAGCTAGTATTATCATCATGTTAGGACATTATTTTTTGTGTCTGACATGTAAAATACCTATCTTACTGAGGAGCAGGGCCCGGGTCTCAAGCAGCTTCACTACCATATTATTGTTGTGTGTCGATGGTAAGATTATTATCATCAGCACATTATTGTTGTGTGTCGACTGTAAGATTATTATCATCATCCTATTATTGTTGTGTGTCGACTGTAAGATTATTATCATCACCACATTATTGTTGTGTGTCGACTGTAAGATTATTATCATCACCACATTATTGTTGTGTGTCGACTGTAAGATTATTATCATCACCACATTATTGTTGTGTGTCGACTGTAAGATTATTATCATCACCACATTATTGTTGTGTGTCGACTGTAAGATTATTATCATCACCACATTATTGTTGTGTGTCATCTGTAAGATTATTATCATCACCACATTATTGTTGTGTGTCATCTTTAAGATTATTATCATCACCATATTATTGTTGTGTGTCATCTTTAAGATTATTATCATCCCCACATTATTGTTGTGTGTCATCTTTGAGATTATTATCATCACCACATTATTGTTGTGTGTCATCTTTAAGATTATTATCATCACCACATTATTTTTTGTGTCATCTTAAAGATTATTATCATCACCACATTATTGTTGTGTGTCATCTTTAAGATTATTATCATCATCACATTATTGTTGTGTGGCATCTTTAAGATTATTATCATCACCTCATTATTGTTGTGCGTCATCTTTAAGATTATTATCATCACCACATTATTGTTGTGTGTCGTCTTTAAGATTATTATAATCACCACATTATTGTTGTGTGTCGTCTTTGAGATTATTATCATCATCAAATTCCTATAATACAGTATGTCAGTGGGTTATCACCCCTATCAGTCAGATGCAAGAGGCTTGATGTTTGCAGATGGCAAGAGGCTTGATGTTTGCAGATGGAAGAGGCTTGATGTTTGCATGTTTCCATATTCATGCCTTTCTTGGTCTTCCTCTTTCCCTTTACAAAGCCCTATGGTGTTGTTTTTGAGACTCCCGTAGATACATGTCTGCATCAGACGTGTACTATTGCTATTAGTTAATCATATTTCCAATTCCGTTAATGCTCCGTCCCTGTGTTAACAAAAAAAATATGCATGGATGCTCATCTCTGTTCCTTGAGAAACACAACAAAAAAGATTTGAAACTGGCTGCAGTCTTGGAAAAGCCTTTAACATACACATTAAATGCTCCATAAGATGGTCATCAGAGATACCAACCTAAAAAAGGTCAGCTACCATAACTGCAGTTCATCGCGAATGGAGACAGTGATTACAACAGATCAGTGGTTGCACATGGACAATTTCAAAAGGCACAATCAGTTCTGTGGCAACAGGCCATTTGCTATATTTGGAATCTGCAGTTCAGAAAACACATCACGTTGGGTACAGTCGGAAAGCATACCATTGCATTCCTTACCATTCACATGTCCATTACCTTACATGCCATTGCATTCCTTACCATTGACATGTCCATTACCTTACATGCCATTGCATTCCTTACCATTCACATGTCCATTAGCTTACATGTCATTGCAGACCAAGATTATTGTTGTGACTGTTCCTTCAGGTCACCATTTATAAAACCTTTACCAAATCAAATTCCACTTGGAAGCAGACACACTTCAATGCGAACATTTCCTGGACAGCAAACTCTCGATTACAGGTAAATTGATAGCTCACTGTTTTTGTTTTGCTGGACCTTTTCTTTCCCTATTCATCTTTACAAACGATAGTGTTTTATTGTGCTCCTATGGAGGCATGGTAATCGCAGCCCACGGTGATGGCCAGTTTGTCAGTTACGCCAGGGTTAAAATGCTTCCTCTAATTAGCAAAAAGGCCTCGGCCAGCAGCTGTGTCTTTAGCACATAATTAAGGAACAGTCACAGGATGAAGATCACAGACTGCTTGTGTTCCCCGGAGGACTCAGAGGCACTCGGCAAAGTTCCCATAATGATTGTAACCTTTATTTATTAAGTTCTGCCGTTGAGAAGTCGATTAAGCTCTATGGCACGGACACACATGGATTGGCCAGACTCGTTGCGCTGTCACAAAGTGCCGTGCTCTTTGTTGTGGCTGCTATATCCAGTCTGATGCGACTCATCATTTCTTGCGAATATCAGATCAAGGCATCTTGTTACGCACTGAACGCAAAGAATATAGTAGCCAGTTATCATATATATGATGAGATACTTTGATATACAGAAAAATTACATAACAAAAGCAATTGCCTGCAGCGGGACTTTTATATAGCTTTCAATGATAATTGATAAAGTTCGATTCATCATCATGCTCTCTGCCAGCTGGCACAGGCGCTCATGCGTCTCCACAGATCACGATCCCTGGTTGCCTGGAACAGCTCTCTTGATGATATCCCTCCATGCCATCGTTTCAGCCCATTTAGCATCATCTCTCTTGGTCTGCCTCTACCCCCTTTCCCACTGATCTTTCCAGTCTTCACGATGTTCTTGAGTGTCTCTCTTCTCATTATGTGGCCAAAGAACAGTGTTTGTCACTTTCTTATTGTTGTATATAGAGATCTACTTTCAATTAGCTTCTTTCGAGCACTCATTGTTAGTTACTTTGACCGTCTAGGGATTCGTAACATTCGTCTCAGAAACCACATCTCTGTTGCTTCCAAATTCTTCTTTATTTGTTCAGTGACACTCCAAGATTTGCTGCCATACAGCAAAACAGGTTCTAAGTCACATTTTAACACCCTCTTTGTGACGTTAAATTGAAAGCGATTTATTACATAAGATATTTTTCATTTTCTGAAATGCAGCTCTCGCTTGACCTAGTCTGCTTTTAATCTCTGTCACACATTTTCCATCTGATGATATGATTGTTTCCAGATATTTGAATGTATTGACTAAAGTTCGATTAGAGTGCTTTAAAAAATCAACAAGTATCAAACATCTCTTCTAATATGTATCCAACTCTCACATGTTGCAAACATCTCTCCTCATATGTATCAAACTCTCACATATATCAAACAATTCGTATCCTCTGTACCAAATTCCCACATGTATCAAACATCTCTCCTCATATGTATCCAACATCTCTTCTCATCTGTATCAAGCTGTCACATGTATCAAATAATTGTTCCCACCTGTATCAAACATCTCTTTTCATCTGTATCAAACACGTCCTATCATGTGTATTAAATTCTCTCATGCATAAAATATCTCTTCTTATAGGTTTCGAACATCCCTTCTCATCTGATAAAACTTCCCACCTGCATTAAACATCTCTTCTCACCTGTCTCAAATTACCATATGTATAAAACATCACTTCTCTATTAAATTAGGAGATCACATGTATCAAACAGCTATTTTCATCTGTATCAAACATCTCTTCTCATCCGTATCAAACTCACATGTATCAAACATCTTTTCTCATATATATTTAATATGTCTTCTCATCTTTATTCAACGTCTTTTCTCGTATGTATCAAACTATGAGTGCAAAGAGACAAATTATTAATAGCATATTCATTCCAACATTAAGCTACCAGTGCCAAACATGGAGTCTATCTAAAGCCCATCTGCGCAAAATCACCACCTGTGAGATGAGGTGCCTGAGAAAAGCAGCCAACCTAACCATCCGAGATCGAGTGAATAATGAAACTATCAGGCAAATTGTGGGAACGACACCTTGTACTAGATTCATCGAGAAACAGCAGATTAAGTGGTTTGACCATCTTGTTAGAATGCCGCAAGATCAAATACCACCACAAGCACTACATCTCAGAAGATCAGCTACAAGAGCAAGAGGACGGCCGCGAAAAACATGGATCGACAACATTAAAGACACTCAACGCCTTCACGGCATGACAAAAGCCAGTGGGAGCCAACGTGCACTGGATCGCAAATGATTCCTCCACACGCGCTAAACGGCAGAAGTGGTTTATGATGATGATGATGATCAAACATGTGTTTCCATCTGCATCAAACATTCTCTTATCATATGTATCAAATTTTGACATGTATAAAACATAATTTCGCTTCTGTATCAAACTCTCACAGAATCAAACATCTCTTCTCATCTGGGTCAGATTCTTATCTGTATCAAACATCTCTTTTCATCTGTATCAAACTCTCACATGTTCAAACATCTCTTCTCATCCGTACAAATATCTCTTCTCAGCTCTAACAATCATCTCTTCTCATCTGTATAAATATATTTTCTCACCTGTGTCAAACATATCTGTATCAGACTGTAAAATAAAACGTATTTTCTAAGCTGTATCAAACACTGTTTAAGACATCTCTTCTCAACAATATCAAACATCTCTTCTCTTCTGTGTGAAATGTTCATATGTATCAAATTACTCTTCTTCCCGTATCTTCTTCTCCTTCCCGTTCAATGATCGTAAACACCGGCGGAAAGTTCTGGTTTTTGTCCACCTGCAGACTTTAGTCTAGTTCTTAGTGCCTTAGTGTTGCATGCACATCCGTTTTACTGATTCGACTATTTTGTATGCAGACTGTTGTGGAAATCCGCCAATTAACCGACTCTTACGACACGCTTATTGATAAGGCAGTAAGTCTGTTCTAGTTTTCCCCATAGTGAGGCCCCGGAACCCGTACAGGGATTATCTTTCAATTGTACCACACATCCCTTTCTCTCACCCGTACCATACATCCCTTTCTCTCACCCGTACCACACATCCCTTTCTCTTACCCGTACCACACATCCCTTTCTCTCACCGGAACCACACAGCCCCTTATCACATTTGCCACACATCTTTTCCCATCAACGTGTATCACACATCTGTTCCATTCACCTGTATCACACATCCCTTCTCACCTCTGTCACGCATCTGTTCTACGCATCTGTGTTACCCATATCTCACCACGATTTCACATGTTTCTCTTGTTACAGTCATTTGCCTTCTACATGAATGGTATGACCTTCAAGAAAAGATATTGTGCCCACCACCTGTTTACAGATTACCCGTATCCAGAACAAGTGCTGGGGACGGCTTGGCAAGGTGGCCTGTGTTTCTCTCATCACTGTAAGTTACACTGTGGATTTCTTCAGTTAAGAGCTAGTGTTAGGTTAACTATGGTAAGATATACTGGGTATTGCTTGGATGGAGACCTGGTATTACATTAACTGTTAGTCAGTCTTCTAAGGCAATAATAGTGATTGCTTGGATACAGATTTGTTGTTACACTGATGTGATAAGCTATACTGGGCATTGCTTGGATGAAGACCTGGTGTTACATTGACTATGCTAGTCAGTCTTCCAAGCAGTACTAGTGATTGCTTGGATGAAAATCTGGTGTTACATTAATGTGATAAGCTATACTGGGCATTGCTTGGATATACGATAAGCTATACTGGGAATTGTTTTTATGAAAATGTGGGGTTACACTTATATCGTAAGTAGGGCTTTACCATATCAAGGCAATTGATTGTGTCCAGCACCACCAACTGTGGACTATTATGAAAAGTATGGGGTTTCCATCGCATTTAGTGCAATTAATTGAAAATCTCTACCATGAACAACAAGCAGCCATCAGAGCAGCTGGTGAAACATCTGATTGGTTCGAGGTGCAAAAGGGGGTGAGGCAGGGGTGCATTCTCTCACCATACTTATTCAATATATACGCAGAAAATATAATGAGAAATGTCAAAAATGACCAGACTTGTGACAGTTATGATCGGCTCAAAATTGGTGGCAACCCTATTTCGGAACAAAAAGAACAAATATTTTCCTAAGTTAAATTCTCCCAACACGAAGACCCTGAAAAGTGCCTTCTTCTTCATTGCGTTCGGTTTCTTATGCTATGGTCAGACCAATAGATGGGTTGCCTCTATAAACTCACATGTCAGCTGCAGGTCCTTCATAGTTCCCCATAGCTTGCTCTACACATTTTGCACTTGAGACCAGGTTCCTTCTCGAAGTTGTAGGCAGAGTGCTCATGTGTTTGTGGTAAATTATACTAGGGATTGCTTGGATAAAGACATAGTGTTACACTGACTGTGGTAAATTATACTAGGGATTGCTTGGATAAAGACATAGTGTTACACTGACTGTGGTAAATTATACTACGGATTGTTTATTGAAAGACTCGGTGTTACAATGACTTTTAGAAAATTATACTAGGGATTGCTTGGGTAAAGACTCAGTGTTACACTGATTATGGTAAATTATACTACGGATTGTTTATATAAACACTCGGTGTTACATTGACAGTGGTAAATTATACTAGGGATTGCTTGGATAAAGACATAGTGTTACATTGACTATGGTAAATTATACTAAAGATTGTTTGGATAAAGACTAGTGCTACATTGACTGTGGTAAATTATACTAGGGATTGTTTGGACAAAGACATAGTGTTAGACTGACTATGATAAATTGGTGAGATGCACGATAACCTCCGAAGCCGAACTATGTCGCCTTCCATTCACAGATTGTTTAGGCTCATCTACTGTCCGGAGGATCTGGATTGTCTTGCATTTACGTTTTCGTCCAAAAAAAGAGAATGCCTATGACATAGGTTGTAATACTCTCTAGAGGGGTTGTGGGTTAGACCCAGTTTGTAAATATTTTTGTAGTGCTCTTCTTCTTCGTTCTTCTTCGCGTTCAAAAGCTGTAAACTCTGGTGGAAGGTTCTGGTTGCTCGTCCACTACTGAACTGCAGTCCTGCTCCAGAACCTGAGTGTTGCGTGTGCATCAGTTTTACAGATTTCATTCTCTTGAATACAGACTGTTGGTTCCTTGCCTCTCCGGCAGATGCACTCCGACTTCAAAGGAAGCTCCTCAATTAGTCGACTCTTACGACATGCTTTTGGGGAGTCAGTGGGTCTATTCTTGTTTTCCCCACAATGGGGCCCCGGAACCCACACGGGGATTTGTAGTGTTAAAAGCGCTGGCGTGTTTAAAAATACACGTGATATGGACGGATTGCCGGGCACTCCCCCCCACCCCCCCCCAGCAGTGTGAGAAGGTCGGGTGACTGATTGAACAAAGACTCGATGTTGCACTGACTGTGGTAAATTATACTGGGAATTGCTTGGATAAAGACATTTTGTTACACTGACTATGATAAATTATACTAGGTTTTGCTTGGATACCGAATCGGTGTTGCATTGACCGTGGTAAATTATACTAAGGATTGCTTGGACATAGTGTTACACTGAGTGTATACTAGTTATTGCTTGGATAAAGACATAGTGTTACACTGAGTGTATACTAGTTATTGCTTGGATAAAGACATAGTGTTACATTGACCGTGGTAAATTATACTAAGAATTGCTTGGACATAGTGTTACACTGAGTGTATACTAGTTATTGCTTGGATAAAGACATAGTGTTACACTGAGTGTATACTAGTTATTGCTTGGATAAAGACATAGTGTTACATTGATCGTGGTAAATTATACTAGGGATTGCTTGGGTAAAGACATAGGGTTACGCTGACTCTGATAAATTATACTAGGGATTGCTTGGATAAAGACCTGGTGTTACATTGACCATGGTACATTATCCTAGGGATTGTTTGGATAAAGACTCGCGGTTACACTGACCATTGTAAGTTATAATAGATATCACACGAAAGGACACTGTCAGTCATACTGACCACAATTAGGATGTTTAATAATTTGTGCTGACATATGATGCGCCATATAGTAGCTGCCCTCATTCTCCTCAGTCACCCTTCCTTCCTACGGGGCGACTTTATCACAAGCATGATTTTCTCTAATCCTCCCCTGGTAGGCCGCAGACATGGCCGAAACCTCATAGATGTTCAAGTCAAGCATTAGTTACGTATCTCCTAGCCTCTTGTCATATATCTATTTGCAAGACTTGTTCGTATGTGGTTCAGACGGATAGTTTTGCATTCCAAATGCCAGTTCCCAAACACAAAAGGCATTCCGTTTGCTCCAGTCGCAATGTAATGTACGTCATCATCCGCTAAGGATGTGGTAGGAAAAATACCCGTGAAATGGGGCTACGACTAGCTGACAGGTTCAGGCAACATCTTTCGCTTTCTGGTGTGCAAAGCGGTGCTCTTAAAGCATTGCCGCTTCATTTCCTTTCTCAGGGTAACCAAGGTATATTTTACATGGAGGTTACGGTAATAAATCTAGTACTCCAACGAGTCTGTAAGTCACTCCAGAAATGCCTTATCTCTCTAATGGACTCCAACTTGCCCAAGGACCTTAACGCCTAACATAATTTTGTCTAATATTTTCGAGTTATGGACCTTGCTTGTCACAGCTTTTACCAACTAGTATTCATATCCCATATTCACATGTGTATCAGAGATTCAACTGATCAGACATCTGCATTTTTCTCAAAGATATTTCTTTTAAATAATGTTGTGCATTCTTGTTCGTGTGTGTGGCATTGTGTACTCTTGTAAAGTGCTGATGAAGGCTTCCTAGCCGTAGTGTTCACTTGTTATTTATGATAATGTGAGGCTGACTATTTCTAATTTTTATTGTGTTGATATATTTTCATGACGTCATGCAAAAACTGACCTGCATTGCTTTAGATGAAGTAATTTGTCAGATTATGTGATTAGTCAGATTGTGTGACTTGTCAGATTGTGTGACTTGTCAAATTGTGTGACTTGTCAGATTGTGTGACTTGTCACATTGTGTGACTAGTCAGATTGTGTGACTAGTCAGATCTTGTAACTCATATGAGGTTGTGTAATTTCTTACCTTAAGTAACCTGTCAAAGTGTGTGTAACTCGTCATATTGTCTACCTTAGATTGTGTAACTCGTCACTTTGTCTACCTTAGATTATGTAACTCGTCAGATTGTCTACCTTAGATTATGTAACTCGTCAGATTGTCTACCTTAGATTATGTAACTTGTCAGATTGTCTACCTTAGATTGTGTAACTTGTCAGATTGTCTACCTTAGATTGTGTAACTTTTCAGATTGTCTACCTTAGATTGTGTAACTAATCAGATTGTCTACCTTAGATTGTGTAACTTATCAGATTGTCTACCTTAGATTGTGTAACTTATCAGATTGTCTACCTTAGATTGTGTAAGGTATCAGATTGTTTACCTTAGATTGTGTAACTTTTCAGATTGTCTACCTTAGATTGTGTAAGGTATCAGATTGCCTACCTTAGATTGTGTAACTTATCAGATTGCCTACCTTAGATTGTGTAACTTATCAGATTGTCTACCTTAGATTGTGTAACTTATCAGATTGTCTACCTCAGATTGTGTAACTTATCAGATTGTCTACCTTAGATTACGTAACTTGTCAGATTGTCTACCTTAGATTGTGTAACTTATCATATTGTCTACCTTAGATTGTGTAACTTATCAGATTGTCTACCTTAGATTGTGTAACTTATCAGATTGTCTACCTTAGATTACATAACTTGTCAGATTGTCTACCTTAGATTGTGTAACTTATCATATTGTCTACCTTAGATTGTGTAACTTATCAGATTGTCTACCTTAGATTGTGTAACTTATCAGATTGTCTACCTTAGATTTTGTAACTCGTCAGACTGTCTACCTTAGATTGTGTAACTTATCAGATTGTCTACCTTAGATTGTGTAACTTGTCAGATTGTCTACCTTAGATTATGTAACTTGTCAGACTGTGAAACTTTTCAGACTAAATGAGTCTTGAATTATTTAGTCATTGTCATTTCAAAGTCAGTTTATTCATGTGTTTGTTGTGTTTGTTTCTCTTCGTTATTTTCCTCAAGAAAGTTATCTGTCTTTGCCATCTTATGTTTGCTTTTTGTTGCCTTTTATGTTTGCTGATTATCTTCTGCAATAATTATGAAGTGTTTGATAACATAGCGGTAACAACAACTTTTGTGTATGCAGATACAGACTACATCGATGGTTTGTTGATGATGAACAGTGGTATCTCATCAGCCACCGATATGTTGGCAGGAGTATTAACCACTCTGCAGATGAACCTGGTATTCGCTCATGGTAGGATATGTTGGCTGCCAGTCGAAGCACGTTTCATCGTTTCCTTTCTTCACGGGCAGTCGTTTAAGCCCGTGTCTTGGCACCCTGTGCATATTTGTTGATGAACCCATGTACAAGTTCTTCTGTCTGAATCAGTGTGTCGTACATGTTCTCCTGGCGGTGTCAGAGAGCTTCTTCTGTTGTTGTTAATGTGTCATAGATTGCCTTCTGTCTCTGTCACTGTGTCATACATGTTATTTTGTCTGTGTAAATGTGTCATAAATTGCCTTCTATCTGTGTCACTGTGTCATACATATTCTTTTGTCTCTGTCACTGTGTCATACATGTTATTTTGTCTGTGTAAATGTGTCATAAATTGCCTTCTATCTGTGTCACTGTGTCATACATATTCCTTTGTCTCTGTCACTGTGTCATTCATGTTATTTTGTCTGTGTAAATGTGTCCTAAATTGCTTTCTGTCTGTGTCACTGTGTTATACATATTCTTTTATCTCTCACTGTGTCATACATGTTATTTTGTCTGTGTAAATGTGTCCTAAATTGCTTTCTGTCTGTGTCACTGTGTTATACATATTCTTTTATCTCTCACTGTGTCATACATGTTATTTTGTCTGTGTAAATGTGTCCTAAATTGCCTTCTGTCTGTGTCACTGTGTCATAATATTCGTTTGTCTCTGTCACTGTGTCATACATGTTATTTTGTCTGTGTTAATGTGTCCTAAATTGCCTTCTGTCTGTGTCACTGTGTCATAATGTTGTCCTGTCTCTGTCACTGTGCCCTACTGTTCTTTTGTCTGTGTCAGTGTGTCCTACATGTTCTTCTCTCGGTGTCAAATGCCAGACAGCTTTTTCTGTCTGTGTACATGTGTCATACATTTTCTGCTATCTCTGTTACTGTGTCTTACATGTTCTTTTGTCAATATCTCTGTGTCATATATGTTTTTCAGTCCGTATGAAACATATTCTTATGTCTGTGTCACTGAATCTAAATGCTTTTCTGTCTCTGTCATTGTGTCATATGTGTTTTCTCTGTGACTGTCATACACGCTTTTCTGCATTTCTTACTGTGTCATACACGTTCTTCTGCCTCTGTCACTGTGTCATAATTATCTTCTGTCTGTGACATATAGACATTTCCTTTTGAGTTGGTCATGTTCTTGGTGTCACAGTCAAATAAACATTTTCCCCTGAGCTGTCATAGACATTCATTTGTCTGTATCCGTGTGTCACTTAAACATTTATTGCTGAATTCGCAAAGATATTATTCCATCTGTATAACTATCACTGGAATTCTCAGGTAGACGGACAATGAACTATATGGGATTTGTGTGAATATACAGAAAAGGAGAAGGAGGGGAAATCACAACCTGTACGTCTGTATATTTTAACAACAGTAGAAAAACACAAAATGCGTTGGTGGGGACATGTCATATAATCTGCAAGCCGCTTGCAGACATAATAAAAGGCTTGATACAAGAAAATGCACACCGCAAAAAACCTGGTTTCCTAATCTGGCGGTCTGGACAAGCCTGTCTGTCAGCATTGTACTCGTCAAAAGCATTGTGTCTGTGTGTGGTTGTTTTGTGTCTGTGTGTGTTTTATGCATCTTGGGCTAATGCTGTTCTCTGACTTCCATCTGTAATGATGCACGGTGCTGAAACACGACGATAACGATGGAATTGTTTATTGTGATTGCAAATCAGTAGATTCTCAATGGTCATTGACAACAAGTTCACGACTGACTGCCTTGACAGGCTGACAGCTAAACAATGGATTCAGTTACTTTCATCTGAAAGTTAACAATATGCAGGCTTCATAGTTTATAAAGACCATCCCCAACTCAGTCACAGAGCCAGTCACAGAATTGTAATGTCATTTTCGTGTTCAGCACGCTGAAGTTAGTAGAGATTTTCTGTTGTCGTGGCGATTCGAGGACCTTGTTGTCCAGTGTAGTTAGCCATCAAATCTTTCTAACATTATCCAATTGATATTTATTATTGAACATGTTCATACGACCATGTTTTCTTTCATCCACAGAGATGGGTAAGTTGTATTGTTTCGGTCCGGTTTATTTGTGTGCTTGTGACATCATTCTGACACTCAGGTACTAAGTTGAATTAATGGTGCAATATTGTGAGCTGTATCGTTCATGCAGAACGCTGTTTGTATCTGCCCGCTGTGGCTTTTGTTGGGAAATGCATAATCTATCCTGTAAATGATGAAATGCAGTTGTAGTGGCAGAATGTGGATGTTTACATCTATAGTGGCTGCCTTAAGCACTTGATGCGTGTGCATGTTGTTAGCTTTGCCATTACTGCTGTCTGATAAGTTTTTAAATTGGACTGTGAAAAAGAGTGTGTATGGTATTTGCTGGCACAGGAATAACAAATCGAATCTGTCAGCACAAGTACAGGTTATCATATCTGTCAGCACAAGTACACGTTATCATATCTGTCAGCACAAGTACAGGTTATCATATCTGTCAGCACAAGTACACGTTATCATATCTGTCAGCACAAGTACACGTTATCATATCTGTCAGCACAAGTACACGTTATCATATCTGTCAGCACAAGTACACGTTATCATATCTGTCAGCACAAGTACACGTTATCATATCTGTCAACACAAGTACAGGTTTATCATATCTGTCAGCACAAGTACACGTTATCATATCTGTCAACACAAGTACAGGTTTATCATATCTGTCAGCACAAGTACACGTTATCATATCTGTCAACACAAGTACAGGTTATCATATCTGTCAGCACAAGTACAGGTTATCATATCTGTCAGCACAAGCACATGTTATCGCATCTCAGAACAATTACAAGTTTTCACATCTGTCAGTATAAGTACACGGTATCACATATGTTAGCACAAGTACATGTTATTACAAATGTCAGCACAAGTACAAATTATCACATATTTAAACACAAGTACATAGTATCACATCTGTAAGAAAAAATTACATAATATCACATCCGCCAGCGCACGCACATGTTATCACATCTCTCAGCACAGTTACAAGTTATCACATCTGTCAGTATGAGTACACGTTATCACATATGTTTTCACAATTTCAAGTTATTACACACGTTAGCACAAGTAGACGTTATATCTGTCAGCACCAGTACACGCTATGTCTGTCAGCACCAGTACAGTCTATGTTTGTCAGCACCAGTACATGTCATCACTTCTGTCAGCACCAGTACATGTCACATCTGCCAGTACACTGCACAGCAAGTAATTGTTCTTACATAACATCTATTTTTTGTAAACTGGATTGTTCTGTGCATGCATGTATGTAAGTATATTTGTGAAAATGTACGTTTATCTATGTGAATGTTCGGTATACATGCATGTCTACTGTACTGAATACGTAGATGTTTGTATGTATCCATGTCTGAATGTATTGTCGTGTATGTGGATGTTTGTATATATCCATGTCCAAATGTACTATCGTGTATGTGGATGTTTGTATATATCCATGTCTGAATGTACTATCGTGTATGTGGATGTTTGCATATATCCATGTCTGAATGTACTATCGTGTATGTGGATGTTTGTATGTATCCATGTCTGAATGTATTGTCGTGTGTGTGGATGTTTGCATATATCCATGTCTGAATGTACTATCGTGTATGTGGATGTTTGTATGTATCCATGTCTGAATGTATTGTCGTGTGTGTGGATGTTTGCATATATCCATGTCTGAATGTACTATCGTGTATGTGGATGTTTGCATATATCCATGTCTCAATGTACTATCGTGTATGTGGATGTTTGTATGTATCCATGTCTGAATGTATTGTCGTGTGTGTGGATGTTTGCATATATCCATGTCTGAATGTACTATCGTGTATGTGGATGTTTGTATGTATCCATGTCTGAATGTATTGTCGTGTATGTGGATGTTTGTATATATCCATGTCTGAATGCATTGTCGTGTATGTGGATGTTTGTATATATCCATGTCCAAATGTATTGTAGTGTACATTGATGTTTGTTTATATCCATGGCTGGATGTACTCTTGCATATGTGAATGTTGGTATTTGTTCATGTTCCTATGTAATACTGGATGTGTTAATATTGGTTATATGTCTATGTCAAAGTGCATTGTTGTATCTGTGAATGTCAGCCTTTTTTTTATAAATGTATGTTCAAATGTACTGTTGATTATGTGAATCTTGGTATATATCTATGTTTGAATGTATTGTTATACATGTGAATGTTATTATATATCAATGTAAAAAATACTATTGCCAATATGAATGTCTGTATATACATCTATGTCTGAATGTATTGTTGTATATGTAAATGGTTGGTATTTATCAAAATGTATTGTTGCATTTGTGATGTTTGTATATATATATCCCTGTCGATATGTATTTATATACATGTGAATGTTGTTTACATCCATATCCATGTATATTGTTCTTGTTCTACTGATGAATGCTTGTAAAAATAGCCAACTACGTCTGCATTTGTTGACCTCTATGCCAGGTCACCTCTTTGGCAGTGGTCATGACCCAAACGACACAGAGTGCTCCAAGACAGAACAGTTCGGGGGCAAATTCCTTATGAATACAATTTCCGTCTTTGGCAAGTACCCTAATAATTTGGTAAGCAATGGACATCATTCACCTCATGAATACACACATTATAGTAGTATTTCATGTTCAAATTTACTATGGGCATTGGCGACTGCTTCGTCCATTGGCTGGACGGTAGACGGCTTCATCGTCGGTAGGGACAGTATTTGGGTATGTCTCTACTGATAGCATCAACACTGCGAGTCCTTTTCAGGGCTGCTTGACAGCGAGCAGTGATAAGCCATTTTATATGGCGCACATTAACCTAGTCACAATTATAACCAAAAGCTCTCACCTTTTGGGGATGATGGTTGAAGATGATCTTTTGTTGTTATTGCAAAGCCAGGAAGTAAGTTTACATATGGGCTGTGATAGGTATGCCTTTCGACCAACCACGTCTGATTTCAGCGGAATTCTTATTAATTGCCTTTTTTAATGACATGCTTAGAGGGGAGGGGGTTGTCTATTCTCTCTCCCCTTCCCCACCTCGCCTCTCCCCACCTCCCCACCAAAAAATGACGAACTAAAAGCCCTAGGTGCCTGCAGTAGCTATATATTTAAATGAATGCAGCTCATAATTAGTTACTTTATACTGACATATGCTCGCTCGCTGAAACATTAAGGGAAATGAAAGCAGACTGCTCACTCACACACAAAACACCCAGATACGGAATACACTTATCACGAAGTTAAACTCAGATCAAGGCAACCGTTAGAACCTGCTGGAACACTTCCCATGCAGAAAACAATTTTGAAGACCTAATCAACATCCTCACACAAAAGAAACACATCGTCATATTTAGACTGTGTATTCGAGACAACAGACTCTGCAGCCATTGGTACAAGAGATTTAAGATTAGGGATTGGGAATTTTGCCCACATGGACAGGCACTATATTTTACAAGCAGTATAGAGATCCTAGGCTTAGACGATCAGAATTCCAAGAGTAACTAAGCTGCATGTAAGCGTGGAAGTCATGCCTGACACCACAGACTTCCACATGGCCTTCTCAGCTTCCCAACTAGACCTGTGGCCTTCTCAGCTAAAAACAGACTGAGGTGCCAATTACACTTAATGAACTGGAGTTGGCCAACTACAGTGGTACATTGAAGTGAAACATCATTACACCACAGCAGGCGGGGGCTTTAGAAAGTTCCTATTCTACGGAAGACCAGACAACATACCTCTCCCAAGAAATAGAGGATGCTTTTCAAGATAAGAAACTGGTACTCGCGGCATGGATAGATTTAAGGAAAGCTTTTGATAAGGTTTGGAAGGAGGGGCTTTTGAAGAAATTGAGAAAAACTATAAAATAAATGGAAAAAAATGTACAATTGGATTAAAGCATATCTACATAACAGAAGAGCCCGGGTACAGGTAGATGGTTTCAAAAGTAAAAAAAGTTCTACTGCGACAAGGCGTCCCTCAAGGTGGTTGTCCCTGTCGCCCACACTTTTCCTTTTATTTATGAACGATCTGGTTGCTGAGATACCAAATGGAATCAAAATGGCAATGTATGCCGACGACCTGGTACTGTGGTGCACCAATGAACATGCAACGATAGCCACAAAAACACACTACAGCGGGCTACAAATGCACTTGAGGCATGGGCCAATAGATGGTGTGTCCAGTATCAACACAGACAAATGTAGCACCACACTATTCACCCTCTCCCCAAAGCAAAAAGCCGGGGCACCATCAAAATAAACGAAATACCTCTGAGAGATGATAAAGAGCCCACATACCTAGGAGTCACATTTGATGACAGGTTGACGTGGAGAAAACATATCAACAAGGCAGCAACCAAAGCCAGGAGGAAGACAGCAATACTAAGAAAACTAAGTGGAACCACATGGGGAGCAGATGGGAAAATACTCAATAAAGTATACAAGCAGAGCATACTTCCACACTTGGAATATGGGTCAACTGCATGGTGTTCAGCATCTAGTACCACATTAAAGGAGTTAGACAAAGTGCAAAATCATGCGCTCAGAGTCATCACAGGAGGGATGAAATCAACCCCCATATCAGAAATGGAGAAAGCTGGGAAAACACAGGCACTGAGAGAACGCAGAGATACAAAGTTGCAAATACAAGCTGAAAAGTTCCTAAGTATGCCAGATCACCCGATGGAAAATAGATTTAAGAACCTAGCCTTGGGACGGTTAAAAAGAAGCAGCTTTATACACCAAGCAAAAAGAATATGTAGACAAACTCCTGACCTTCCAGAAATTGGCTGCCCACTTAAGGGGTCACTACACCAAAAAAATTTATTTTTTTATTTACAGAGTTAGAGCAGTTATTTTATAATGGTCATTTGTAGGGATACATGTTATTACATTTGTATACTTTAAGTGTTAAACAATTCATAATTGTCATGGCAATAGCCACCATCTTGTGAAAAAAACAATATGTACTTAGGATCCTAAAATTTTAAAAACAAACATAGGTATTCAACAATAGATGATAGATCCATGACCTTTCATCCTATTTACAGGTACAGGTCTAGTTTATTTGCTTTGAACATGTTTTTAAATATTTTTTGTAGAATTTTAAAATGTAGGTTTATTGAAAAA